TGTTTCTTCTTGTTTTTCTTTCTTGAGGAAAGTAAAGGAGGCCAAATGAAAATACCTTTTAAATAGTCTTTTGGAATCCAGGCATTATATATTACTAATTACATCTAAAACCACTCTGAACTGGTTAGAATCTGAAAATAGCATTAGTAGTCCTGTCAACTTATAGCTAAATTTACTATGTAATGCAGGCAAAAACAATTCTAAATGTTGCTTGTGCTTCCACTTGCATAAACATTTTGAAAAATAAAAAGTTGAGATTAAATTTGAGACTGACGAATAACCACCTGGGTTATGAATGGTAATGGTCACTGACTGCATTCATGTGAAAGGGTGATGTTGTCAAAGGCTCAAAATTCTAGTGAAAATCAGTAGTTATTTGCTACAAGTTGAAATATATATATATATAAACTTTACATTACATTCTGGTTAATGTTTGTTATTTTTTGTTTATTTTTTAAAAATAAATGGCAGCAGAATGCATTATAATTCTTATTACACAAATATAGCACAATTTTTTTATATTTCTGGTTGTGTATAAAGTATGTTGACACAATTTCTGTCTTCTTACATGTATTAAACAATTTTTCTGTGGTGACCTTTTCATTTTGTTTCTCATCCTTGCAGAAAATTCAGTCAATATGTTGAATAATTTTATCAAAATGTCTTAGTATATTAAAGAAATGTATTTCTGTGCATCAATGGGGGAACGATGGAATTTAGTTATGCTATCTCATCTTTTTTTCTCACATTGCCAACATTCCTGGTGTGAGATTTAGCACACGTCTAGATTTATTTTATTTGGCTGGCATATGTAGGTTCTTGGGTTTACAGCTTTCCCTTTGGGGTGTATCTTGGGCAGGGGCTATATCTCAGTGTCAAATTCCCAACTGAACACCTAAGTCTCATATTTTCAAACAAAAACTTTGTTAGTTCATTGTTTAAAGAGTGTAATCCTATTTAATATGAAACATGCTCCACAAAATTCTTTAAAATAAGACTCAAAATCCTTCTCACATTTCATGGTGAATGCAAAGTCGGATGAGTTACAATGAATATCATTCCTCATGTCCTTTGGGGTGTATACTCCTTTGTTAGCATGTTGTCAAGGAATGCCTTTTCTATGACATTCACCCTGCTTTTACCAAATCAGGAGCCATTGGAAGATAAGTGTTCAGCTTCATCTGGAGCACAATGCTAAGACACGCTATGGAAAGTATGACTGCTTAGTCTGTAGTTCTCTACATGTTAGTTAGCTGCTTTCCAGACCAAATTTTGGGTGATGTCTAAAAGAGTGATAGTGAAGTCTTCATGCAGCTCATTGGGGTCCTTTATTTTGCAGGCATTTTCTGAGGATTCTCCACAGATGTGTGTTTCTCACTCATCTGGAGAGAAACATCATAAAGCAAAAGAGAAACAAGATGGACATGTCCATGGTAAGAACAACATATTCTACACAGTTCTTTCTTTGGATAGAATATTTATTTATAACATAAGTGCTGATATATTCTAATACTTGGGGAAATGAACCTAGTAAACAGGGAATAAAGAAAAAGCAAGAAAGATAAAGAGTTGTCTCTCTCAAGACCAAAGTCTAACAACAGGTTATAATGGGAGTGTCCCTCTTAGTTTCTGTACAAGACAAGTATAGACCACAGGGGAGTTGGAAAACTTGAAATTTTATGTTGGAAAGAATAATGTTCTTCACATTCTCCCTGCTTTCTGTTCATTTCTCAGTGTATTTTTATTTTCCTCAGGGAATCTTTTCTAAAGATCAGATTTATGTATTAGATCACAAACCTCTATTCTAATATCATCTGTCTAAAATTATAATGATCTTTTTTTGTGTATGTCTTCTTCATTAGATTTTAAGTTAAAGAACAATAGGGGTCTAATCTCTTCTGCTATATCTTCAGAGTTCAGCATATTGTGTCATGTGGTTTATGCACTCATTGTTTTAGTGTATAAATAATGCATGTGAAATATACAGCATTAATATATTTAAATTAGTCACATATTTTATTTCTATCTTCTTTTTTTCTGACAGATTTTGTTAGCCTATTGAAAACCCGGAAAGCAGTTCTTTCACTTCAAAGAATAATAAAAAGCAAAAAAAGTCACTGCACACAGTGTTCACTACATTTTGAAAAAAATGCACAACTGGAAAATGAGATTTATGAGCTAAAAAATAGGGTATCAGAGTTTAAGCAAGAAAATATAGAATTGAAACAACAACTCCACAATTTGAGGTATTATATCCTAGGTTGAAAGAAAGAATGGAATCTTTTCCTTTAATCCAGTAAAATAAGAAGGACAATTTTTTTTAACTACTGCCTCATCTTTTAGCACTTTGCAAAGGAGAAAACGTGAATAAATTATAAAATTCTTATAAATATGATAGCATATTATTAAATGTGATTACTTCTAAAAAATTAGTTCATATTTTTTCCCATCACAATTTTAATGTCTCTATGGAACCCCATCTGCTAGTAATCTATTTTTTTAACAAGCATAATTTGGGATTGTTATTTGTTTGTATTTTTAACTTTTTATTACAATTAATATTTCAAAAAATATCATTTATAAAAAAATAATTTCCTACTCAGATACCATGGCATGTGCCTATAATTCCAGCAGCTTGGGAGACAAAGATAGGAAGATCAAAAGTTCAAAATAATCCTCATTAACATAGCAGCAATGTCCTAAGCAAATTAATGAGACCTTGTCTCCAACAAAAGAAAAAAAAAATGAAAAAGACCTTGGGATGTAGCTAAGGGATTTAGCTTCTGGGGGTTCAATCCCTGGTACCAAAGTTGGGGATGAGAAGAAAAGAAAAAAAATAACTTTCTATATTT